GGAATTCGAATTGGTCAATTATTTCTATTCTCTGTTCCTATTGGCTAATACTTATTCTTATTGCCTGTAGCCTGGCATTGTGCAAGGGCTCTAATGCAGGATTCACATCGCGTCCAATGTCCGACGTCTGATATCCAATAGGAGACCAGCTTTCTAATATAGAATTCAATTCTCCATTGAAAAGCTATTCTATTATTGGATATCGGACGTCGTACATCGGACGCAGTGTCCTGCATTACGGTTATTGGAGCCGCATTTGACACATATGCCATCATGCCACCAATGAGCGCTCTCCACTAAATAATTTCGGAATAAAATGTAGTCAATGAAATAGGTTCTATATTCCTCCTGGCGAACCATTTCCGATACTAAGGTCTTCACACACAAATTGACATAACAGTAACGTAAGACGTATCATAAGAATTGACCAATCATGTTGAGAATCGTTGAACCGTAAGGTCGCCATTTTGATGAATACTCGATCGTAATTGGTCAATTCTTAAGGTACGTCTAACGTTACTGTTATGTCGATTTGTGTGTGAAAGCTCCTACTGACTCTGCGCCTGCATCCATTTTGTATCGCAGTGCATTCGTGTTCACGATGTACGATGATCTCGAGTCTCATCACGTGTCATTAGATGCGCATAGAGCGTAGAGAACATCGATCGAGAAAACGAGAGTGTAGAAACAATTTTTGTGAGTTTCGTTCGTTGTATTAGCTTACACGTGAAAGCACGCTCTACAGCCGTGCTTGCGGTAATTCGACAGCGAAATCGCGGGCGACCGTCAGTCGCGAGCGGCCATTTTGTAAGCGATTCTGATTTTTGATTCCACGCTATGGCAGAGGCCGAGGCGTTGTCACAGAAAAAGCAGCAACCGTTTCACCCGCAGCAACAGCAACTCGGAGCAGGCCCGATGGCGAACATGACGTGGCAGTACCCATCTCCGAACAATATGCATATGTTCCCTCCATATGGCGGGTGAGTTGCACCAGTTTATGTTCAGTCATTAGGATGTTCCAATGTTGCATTTTCCCTTGCCTCAATTCCTTGGTGCAGTCTAGCTTCCGCAAAAAAGATTACTTATAAGTAGTTAATATCGTGTACGCGTGTGCTAGCATACGACGAGATTTATTGGATCTACATTCTTGATCGAGTGGTTAACAAAATGACTCATTCTTAGGTTACTCATTCTTTATATCGCGGGCGCCATTATATCGTTCCGAGCGAGTTGACCATTTCATCGATATAGGGGCTCAATACCATTCAGAATTCGAGTTTTGATTGTGTATATAGCGTTTGAATCTTGAATACATGAGTTTGTATAATTTTAAAAGGCATAAATTATGCTAACTATGCTGTGTCTCAGAATAATGTAGCATTGTGCATCATTGGTTACGTTCAGCGGAGAAAACTGCTTCGCTACCGCTTCGTAGCGAACGTTTCTAATTGGTATGTCTGTCCGGACCTGTTAAAAGTTTAAAAAAATACTTCAATCATGAACATTCGCTACGGAGCGGTAGCGGAGCAGTTTTCTTCGCTAAACGTGACTATTGTGCAGCATATCTGGAGAACATTCTGCAGTAAAGGAGAGGCAGTATCTTTTGTTTTGGTGATTTCTGAATTGGATTCAGTTAAACATAATTTATACTGAAGGCATTTTCTTTTTACGTCGGATATCGGATACAATGTGAATCCTTTATTAGAGCTTGGAATTATATACATAGAATCAATTGAATGTATTAATTATCTTATAATTGGCAGAATTTTGAAATATTTCTAGAATTTTATGAAAATTGAATTGGAAAATATAAGATAGCAAAACATTGTAAATTCAGACAGTGGGGGTATTATTTATCAAACAAATTTTTTGTTTGTGTCCATTTTTAATTGATGACCAATATGTTTATTTATACATTATAGAATAACCCATAGAACTATTACCAAAAATAAAATATGTTCATCTATTTACTTGTCTTGTTACCAATATCTATAAAATCTTATAATTTAAAAATGTTTTTTTCTCTTTGCAGGCATATGTATGGTCCTGGATATCAAGGTGTACCGCACCAAGGACAAATGTTTAATTATTATCCCTCGATGATGCCAGGATATGGTCAGCCTTTTAATCCACAGCAAATGCAGCAGCAACAACAACAGCAGCATCAACATCAGCAACAACATCAACACCAACAGCAGCAACAGCAACAACAACAGCAACAGCAGCAACAACAGAATAACAATCAAACAAAGCAGCAGTTGCATCAACAACCTCCTATACCTGGAACCCCAATGACCCTGGATGATGAATCTGATCTTCCTCCGTTGCCACCTGGTCCACCACCGGCGGTTCAACCATCTCAGCAGCAGAACCATGTACAACAGCCGATGCCTTTTCAAGGGATCATGTATAATTCATTTCCCTACAGCAATTGGAATATGCACAATGATACCTCTCGTGAGTATCACTCTTATGATAAATGAAGATGTGAAACAAAATTGTTACATATTTACTATGAAATTAAAATTTATTTATCTTTCATGATTTTCTTGCTACAAGAATTCTTAAAATATAACATACTTTAATGTTTTAGTAATATAAATGACAAGGATTATACTTTGTTTATTCTTGGTTTTTTGTTCATTCTGTTTGAAAATGTACATTATATATAATTGCTATATAAAACATTTTTTTTTTTACAGAATACAATGGGCAGATACGGTTCAACTTACCGAATAAGAAAACCGGCCTCGGATACACGCCGTCCGGCAATAGCGGTGCCGCGAAGAAAAAGCGTAAGCGGAACAAAAATTTAGCAGCTCAATTCAACAATAGCTTTCAGGGAAACAACGTGACAAACGGATCGTTTATACCAATGCCTACCACGAAACCGGCGGAACTGCCGCCTCTGCCGCCCGTGAAATGCGAGGTGGCAGCGGCGCCACCGCCGCCTAGCGAGGAGCCGCCCGATAGCACAGTACTCGACACTACCACTCCGGCAGTTACCGCTAAAGTGACTCCCAGCGTTGTTACACTACCAGCTACCATCCCTTCTGTAACAGCTACTACCCCTAGCCCAGTGGGCGACTGGCCCGACAGTTTAAAAAACTACGTGAATCGATGTTATGAGAAGTGTAAGACGACGTTTGACAAGGATCAGGTTGAGATCATAATGAAAGGCAAGATCACACGTGCTGCGAACGACGGCTCGCTGTGGGTGAAGGACTGGGATAAGGAGCAATTGCCGTCCCTTCACAGCGAACGCATGACTCTACAAATCGCGAAGTCGCCGCTAAAAATGCCGACTATGGGGAGTTCACTGGTGAACGCAGTGGGGAACGCACAGGGAGGCCTGCGCAAGCCTGGCCTCTCCACCTCGCTCGGGGCTCGGCTTGGCGCGCGTCTCTCTGTGACGCACAGCAGGCGGTCGAGGTCGAGGTCGCGGTCGAGGTCTAGATCGAGGTCGAGGTCAAGATCCAAATCAAGGTCGCGATCCCGCTCGCGTTCTCGCTCACGTTCGCGCTCGCGTTCGCGCTCCAGGTCGACCCGTTCGCGTACACGTAGTCCGCCTGTTCGTCGGTACCGACGGAGCACTTCTTCATCGTCGAATATTAGCGATCGAGAACACGACTACAAGACGTTGAAAATGAAAAAGTCCGCGCGCAACAAGGCCAATCACGGCAGCAAGAAGACGAAGAAGACTAAGCAGGCTAAGTCACATTTCTATAGCGAGTTTGGTTTAACTACAGGCAACGCCGACGAGCTAGGCTCCAAGGAGAAGCTGCAGCAGCGCGCCGCCAGATTTAACAACGGTAGCTCCCGGACGATCAGCAGCAGTGTCATTAGAGACGATTCGGCGGATTTCGACTTCACTGGACTTCACATCGTTGGCACGTGTAAGGATCTAGAGAAGCCTTATCTGCGTCTTACCTCGGTACGTGAATTGACTTGCTATCTTGATCATTTCGATTTAATTTTAATTTATTTTAATACAAGGAAGGACATTATTTTGATTTTCAATTTTAGATTAATTTTAAATTAATTTGCTGAATTCATGCATCGAATACTTATATTTTCTCTTCTTGATTGTTATAGGCACCCGCTCCTTCTGCAGTTCGACCGGTAAGTGTACTTCAAAATTCTTTGGCCCATGTCAAGAAACGTTGGCTAGCCGAGCAGGACTACAGATACGCTTGCGATCAACTAAAATCCATCCGGCAAGATCTTACCGTCCAAGGTATTAGGGATGCGTTTACGGTACACGTATACGAAACCCACGCCCGTGTAGCTTTAGAACGCGGCGATCATGAGGAGTTTAATCAGTGTCAAACGCAGTTGAAGATGCTGTATCAGGATTTCGATGGCGAGAACCGATGCGAATTCGTCGCATATAGGATACTTTACTACATCTTCACGAAAAATACTCAAGGTTAGCAAGATAGTAGCAAGTGGAAGTTTATAACACAGGAAATTTATGCGATTGATATCTTTCAGAATTTAATTATGCGACAAAAAATCCTGAAATCGAATTAATAACGATGATATTTTGGATTTCAGACTTAACAACAATTTTAGCAGCACTCACGCCAGAGGACAAGGTCGACGAATGCATACAACACGCTTTAAAAGTACGCTCGGCGTGGTGGCTGGGCAATTTCCATGCTTTCTTCAAATTGTATAGGAAGGCACCGCGAATGTCTGCCTTCTTGATGGACTGGTTTGTTGCAAGGGAGCGGAAAGTCGCATTGAAATTCATGATAAAATCGTACGTATTAAATATATTCCCTTTATCTATTATTACTTTTCTGGATAGGGTGAAACGTCCAGTAGCCGGCACTCTATTAGTTTTTAACACTTTCGCATAAATTTCATCAAATATTCAGGTGTATGGGAGAAAGAAAATAAATAATAAACATTTAATAAATCTCTATATACCTTAATATTTGATAAAATCCGCACCAGAGTGTCGAAAGCTGGTAGAGTATTGATTATTAGACGTTTTGCTCTATATGCTTAAATTTGTTTCTTTTGAAATGTACAGCTTTATGGTATTTGTTTCTCGTGGCAGTTGTCGTGGCACTTTTCAAATTGGTCAAATGTAACTTTGGTTCGGTTTAATTGTTGATTCTATTTCTTTATTCTACATTATGTTCAGTTCAATTCTCGCGAATTATTTATTTGGCATTTTTTTCAATTCCAAAATAATTATTTGAAAAGTATATATATAATTTTTAACCCTCATTCATAGCATGGAAATTTGATTTTTCTTATTTGGAAAGCGTAATTTGCTCTCTAACGATTGCAAGTATTCAGTCAAGTTTACGATTGGTAAAATTTCTTTAATATTTTCTTTATCTTACGAGAAAAAAGAAAAATTCTCTGGTGAATTTTATTATAATTTATCAGGGGATGTGAAAAATCGAGAAAATATGTCTAAATTTTATCTAAACGTTTTATCAAATGCAGTTTGTTCGCCATTCTTTGACAAATTGGGAAACATGAGCCATGTGTTATAATTATGCAGATTTCTGTTCCAGGACGTCGTAGCCGACAGTTTTTATATAATTATTACATATATTTCTTTCTGTTCCCTATATATAATTGTACTACCACAATTACTCATCGTCTGTGAGGATTGACCTAACCGTTTGCGTTTGTTCTGCTGTTTAGCTACAGGCAAAATTTGGCGGTACATTTCGTCGTAGCGGAATTGGCCTTTGAGTCTTCGGACAAGTTTTATGAATTTGTCAGTGAGTTCGGCTTGGTTTACGCCGATCTCGCTCGACAGCTAATCGACTGCAAGGCGAGCAGTGCTAATCTAGGTGGTTGGTAGATGGCCGCGCCGCTCTACTCTTCTACCTTTCCCTCCGTGTGACGGAAGATTAATGTAGCGCGAAAGAGAGGGTCGCATACTCACAACGCATACGCGTGTGCACACGCGCATGTAAAAAAAAGAAAAAAACGAGAGTATACTCTTCGACAACGCGCGCGCTTTATGTGTATATGCATATGTTCCTCGACGTACTTGGCTCGTGTACGGCGCATATGCATATATATATCTGTATAGATAAACGTAGATACTTCGTTCCGATGCGCTACGCGCGTTTCCGTCAATTTCTCTCGCTTTCGGAAACTTCATACGTGCCGATTCCGCTTCGGAAACGATAATGAGATCATCGTCCCATGGTACACCTCTCCCACCACCATCGGACGTCAAAATGAAGTCGGAACTTTTATTACGGTTCCGGCTGCGAATCCAATAGATTTGTACATAATACTTCTTCGTTCGGTCCCTTGCGCGCAGCTTGTACATATCGCAAGAGGAATAGGCGAATCCTGCCTGAAAGGGGCTCCAATTGTACAAAAATTCAGGATGGACTGTTTCCGTTCATCCGGCGCTACCTCAGTGAAAAAAAAGTTTGTCCTTCCTGAAACAAAAGTGAAATATTCGGGTACAACTCTCCGGGGATCGAATTTGCGAATCACGAAGCAAACGGTGTTCGAGAAGTGAGAAACATTCCCCGCTCGTTCTCGGCTCGACACCAAATCATCATTTCAATTCTTTCCGGTTATTCGTAGCGTTACCCGCACACACGCTTTTACTGCCAGGTGCATGCACGATCGATTTTTCTTTCAACTGCTTTACACGGACGGAAGCTGTAGCCCCGGATCCCCGTGACGAGCCGTAACGGACAGAGGAAGGATAAAAAGACAAGCCAGCCTCTTCACGAAGAGGAGGATGTTTCCAAGAAGATATTTCCGTTCTTCGATTTCACAGTCGAATTTTGAGGAGAAGATACCGCGATGATTGCCGATGGCTCTTACACTCATGGGAGACGGAAAGATCAATAGGAATGAATACCACATTTCGGACAAGTTCGAAGATAATCGGATTTTACCTAGAGAAGGTGAGAGAGAGAGAGAGAGAGAGAGAAAGAAAGAGAGCAAGATAGAGAGAAAGGAGAAGAATGGAACGTTAACAGGACACCGTTGGCTCGTTTCGCGACATCTTCACTCGTGGACTATTTTTAATTAAATGCACTTCCTGCGTAGCGATACAAGAAGAAGGCGTCGTGAAGTCGATGGTAAATGCGGAAGACCGAAGATCAAGTGGGTGGCTGTCGTTCCTACGAGTCTCGTGCGTGGGGTGTGGTACACTTTCTCATCATTGGTTCTCTCCCTACATCGCCGAGTGATCAGTCGTTGTATAATCAACGAAATTGAGAGACGATTAGTAATGAGTGTCTATTGAGCGCGAGATGACGACTCTCTCGACGACGGTGTTGGATCTCTTTTACTCCTTAAGGTTTTTCGAACGGTCGAGAGAGACGTCATCTCGTTTTTGCCACGTGCGTAGAAGGTATGATTTTACTACGTGATTTCATGGACTCGGCAGGAAAGGGAAGATCCATATTGTACGATACTTATTGGGATATGATGTTGTGCATAATAAATTATTTAATTTTCTGACGTTGTACCATTTCTGTTGCGTCGTACTATATAAATCTAGCGCACTCTTACAGAAGATATAGGTTGCGACTCGTTTTCTTACTTCCTATCTCGCCTCGACGATGCTACGTGCCGGTGTAATCAAATCTGTACGACACTTTCGACCGGCTGATTGCTTTTTCCTCTAAGTTTCGCGTTTGCGAATCGCGACTGACGTACGCGCACGGGCGTTTTCGCAAAATCGCCGTCGCGATTAATTATATACCGATTCCCTACATCGGTCGATAAAATAATTTAAAATGTTAAATAATTTAACAATCCATATTAATGATTCATAACGTAGAACGTTAAAGCATTTATATACATAACAATAAACGAAAGCGTCACTTTCATCGTCGGCTCTCTCACCATTAGACAATACTTAAGAACTCTTGGCTCGTCGTTGCAGCCACGTTGAATTACGTCGGGAGCGAACGATCACGCGTGTGACTATTTCTTGTAGCGTACACGTTAAAATGAATTGCTGTCCTTTCACATGTTCAATCATTTCCAAGCGTGTTTGTTCAGATAGATCCGTGATACGTCCCGAAGATCCTCTTTCGATTCGCGAATTAATAGCTGTAAATCTTAATCGACCGCCGTAAGAAATCTTATGTAAAAAATCCACAATACGTGCGGATCGAATAAAGCTCCATTAGTAAAGACGAAAGGAAAAAAAAAATCTTCGGCACACTGTACCGATCTGCACTGCTGGACAATTCATCCTACTTGTCGCTACGATTTTTCGCTTCCGACATTCTAGGAGCCCCGACAGCTTTCGAACAATACAACATGACACAGGCTTAGTCTCCTCGCGTAATGATGCGAGCGCGACCGCTCTACTTTCTTCGATCTCGAAACTGCCAGATCGCAGTCTCTGTATTCGGACGCGGCTTGAAATACCACGTCGGTACATTATCAGCTTCGCTCAAAAACCTCTACAATACACTCGGGACCTACACAACGTGCCATTAACCGGATTAACCCGTTAGCGCCCGGTGTTATCGGGTGGAAAGAATGTTCCGGCGGGCTCCTGAACCGGCTGGAACCCGTTCTCGTTACATTCTGTCAGTGTTCAACGAGGAGTTTCCACCACGCGTACACCGCTTGGTATCGTTAGGTTGAGACATCTAAGCGGGAATAATTCGGTGAAAACTGCATTCTCAGTCAACTAGATCGGAAGATTCGGACGTTAACGGGTCGGTAACTTGTCGTGCACGCGACTAACTCATACGTAGGAACGCGTTCGCGCGGAAGAGATCAACGACAACGAACTCGCGTGCACGAATCGAGTCGCGAACTACATAGTGCGTAAATAGCCTTACGGTATAATATTAACAGCGTCTCTCTATACCGTGTGTGTTTGTGTATGTATGTATGTACGTGTACGTTGTAAGGTAATGTTCCTTGTGTAGTAGATTATGTGTGTGTGTGTCGTGTACAACATTACTGATAGCTGACGTAATACATTAATTCACTTAAATATTAATCAAATAAAAAAAGTGTTAACTATGTTAACGGCGAAATAACGTAGCCCCCGGTAGAAACGAAGTTGGGGATGATCGGCAGCGCTGACCGCGATGAAGGGACAGACCAGGTAATTTGAGGAAAGGAAGGAAATGGGAGAGACAGAGTCCGTTTACACGGAAAGGGACACGAAGCTGTTATACTGAGTGATGTTGCGTTTCAAGATGTCGGCGCACGGACCTAAGACCCGCTCGAACCGTGCCCGGTCAAGTTTCACGCACTTCAACGGGCCCCTGGCCACTACGGTCGCTGCTCGGGGCCTGTCCAGCAGTAACGCTATTTCTCCTGCATTACATAAAAAATAAACACATTATTAACTTAGCCTTTCCGTTTTAGATCCAGTGTAAGCTCGCTCCATTGCGCACGTCAATTTGTATAACACGCATTTTTGCTGCGAAGTGCGCGATTTGGTCTTACCGAAGTAGTCAGATGGCCCTAAACGGCCGACCTCAGCCGGTTCGTCTCCTTCCGAGCGTTGCTGAAGGACCACTGCGGTTCCCTCGACGATTATATAAAAATCTTCGCCCGGCTCGCCCTGTCGGACTATCGTCTCGCCGTCATCGAACGCCACCGGCTCCAGAGCATCCGCTACCGTCAGTCTCTCCCACTTATCCAAGGACTCTGCGAGAACGAGCGTCGAGCATTAGTTGTAGTTTCTTTGCGCGCGTGTAAATTTGACCTTTTTTTTTATGCAGCGTTTCTAGAAAACCTTTCTCACGAAAGGTAAATGTAACAATGAGGATTTCAAGCGAACTCACCCAAAATCGAGACCCTGGAGAGAAACTCCTCGTACATTTTCCGCTTCCTTATAGTGGAACCCATGAGAATCCTGCGGTAGGAGTCCCTGTCGATGCCCCAGAGTTTCACGTCGGTCTTCGCTCTGACAGTCGCCGCACGCGGTGTACCATAGATTAACGCGAGCTCACCGAAACTCCCGCCCTCGCCGATTGTCGTCGCCAGCTCGCCGTTTACGAAGATCTCAACTTCGCCTTGGTCGATCACGTAGAAGTTGTCGCCTTCGTCGCCTGAAGGAGCACGCGAGTTTCTCTCAGTATTTGCATTAGTTAAATATTGAAGTATTAAAATGCAAACAATTGAAGAGGAATTTACAAAAATTATTGCAAATAATTACAATAATTGAGTAAGATCCAAAGTAAACGAATGTTCGCAGATTGATCGCGAAGAGATGTTGAGGACACTTCGGATTGCAAAGGATTAAGAATTCACGAGTCGGTCACCTCGATCGAACGGGGGACTTCGATCGTCGGGCGCGCGTGCGATTACCTTGACGAATGATCGCCTCACCGGGCAGGAACGTCACGGGGAACATCGCGTCAAATATGTCGGAGCGTTCGTTCTCGTCCAGGTGCGCGAACAACACGTTCTTGGCGATGGCCTTGCTCAAGGCAGCCATAGTCTTGTAGTCCTTCGGCACGACCTTCTTGACGTAGCTGGTTGCATCTTCCTCGGAGACCGGCTCCGCCGAGATGCCGCCGCGTCGTCGCGGTACTTGCGGACCCTGCTGACCCGCGGGCATATCCTCCGTGTCCTCAGGACTCGTGGCGATCTGCTGCTTGGCATCGTGAGCTTGTTCCTGTACACGAAAATAAGTATATTTAGGGCTCCTGGCTACTCGCCGCGACTATCTTTATTTATAATGTCGGAAGCGAGAAAATGCATGCCCAAAATTCTTGCGGACTACGTGAAAATAAAAAGATATATCCAAAAAATGACGCAATCGATTAAGCACAAAGTATGCTATAATAAAAATATGCTCAATCGACTGCGTCATATTTTGAATAGGTCTTTTTATTTCAACGTGTATTGGAATTTGGAATTTTGAATACGCATTTTCTCATTTCTGACGTCAATCAAGAATTCTGTGGCGAAGGATCAGAAACCTTAAAATTAGGAATTAATCTCTTTTGTGAACAGTTGCGAAACTGTCGAAGTTCCATTGAGTTTTACTCCTCTTGACCCACATTTCCTTGTTTTTAACTTTTACGAGACTTCGATGTCTGATCTGGTATAAAAATATAAATATCTACGCGGAATATGAGGAAAAAAAGAAAAATAGAAATAATAAAATATGCATCGTAAGTGGTTTCTGGAAGCATTAAAAAATTTAATAAGAAATTAAGCCAAGTCAGCAGCCGATCGAGTAGCTTAATCTACAAGACGTATTATATAATAGGTTTAGACTCGACTGTATATAGGGTGTCTCAGAATACGGAGGATAACGTGTTACTGTACGCATCGTGTATTATTACTTCGTCTCGCATCGAAGTGGCGCGTCGCGGCGAGCGTGGAACGTCACGAGATGCTATTCGCGATCGCGGTCATTGCATTCGGCATATATTAGCCTAATTAATTCAATTTGTGCAGGCTCTGATCAGTCTAAAAGCTTCCGCCCTCCCCTTTGCATCGGTTCGGCATAAAACGGAACAGTGACGATTTTTAATTGATAGAGCTGACCGATTCCCCAAACGGATTTATTTCCGCGAGGATTGGTTATCGATTCGCCCGGTAAATTATGTAAAAACTTTCATCTCGACGACGCGATAAATAGTCGTAAAATCAACTTTCCTTTTTAATTTACCTATTCGCATGATTTTGCCACGTTGATTTTAGAGTTATTTGCTAACTTTGAAGACCAAAGTGTACTTTTAAGAAAATTTTACAAACATGCTTCAGTGATCTGAAGCGTTCTTTGAAGTATCCCTTTATTTGAAAGTGATATGTAAGAATATTCAGTGTGTCATTTCTCGTTTCTAACATCACAATCCAACATGCCTGGGCCGAGTATCCAGGAGCCTTAACAGTCGCATTATCTCCGGTCACGTCGTCTCCCGAATTCACTGCAGTTTCCATCGGGTATTATTTTTAGACGCACGAGCGCACGCCGAAAAATTAATTGCTGAAAGTTATCGTTGTCACGCGTGTGTGACATCGCTACGTCATGAGAATCAGAGCGTCGCATGTTGTATGTAACGCGTGGCTGCGAACGTGTTAAGGTCACCGCGTCGTCGCACACACAAAACATATATACGTACACGCGCGTACTCCAGTTTCGTCGTCAGGCGTAGGTCGTAATTGTTCGACGGAGAAAAAAAGAGAGGAGGTGCGAAAATTAATAATTCGTTACGTACGGACGTGCGCCTCCCTCGGCGACTGCCGAGTTTCGAAAACTCGGATGTGCACTTGGTGCGCGTACCATGAAATTACTGTTAAAATTATAAATTATATAGGTCTCTGTGGGTAAAACTTTACACACCATACACACACCGCCGTGGTTCATGCGAGCGATGCACATCGTCGGAACGAGAGGTGAGTGAATAATGCCATAGGTCAGTTGGCGTTTTCACGCACGAACGCGCCGTTCTCCTCCTCGTGGCGACGACGCCGGGCGTCGTCGGACGTTGTGCGCGTCGCGCGCTCCACGAACACGTACGAATCGCCGCGGCTCGCGCGTTTCCCCCTTTTAATCAGCTCGCGATGCATATGCTAATGCGCTCGTCGCGTGCCGCCACCGACAGTATCAGATTGTAAATTAACGGTGAGAAGAGAATGAAAAAAAAAAAAAAAGAGGAGAACTTCCTTCTCCCCGACTAAAGGCCGAATTCTCGAGTTCCGTACACACCGATCGGTATGTGTGTGTGTGTGTGTGTGGAAAGATCCATGCTCGCAGCAAAACTCTCAATTTTTGTTCAAATATTTTCCCTCGCGAAAATTGTCTCCTATATTGAATGATGTTGAATGATACGGAATGCTGGTACACGGAAAGAATGTTAGAGATTTTTTCTTGTTACAAAGTAAGAAGAAATTCTTTTCAATTTCATCGTGTTTTTAGTAGTCTAGGAGGAGACTGTCATTCAAGAGTGTTTAGAAAGGTCTATTTTGCTAAGGAACATAGTAGATGTAGCTGGGAACACATCAAGTGTTTTAATAGTACACATTTTTCACAGTCCATAAATTATAAGTAGTATATGAAACGAAAGGGTAGAGTACATCATTGCAGAATGTTGATGTATCCCTTCTACATAAAATCATATAGTAATGTTTACTCTACTTTTGAAAGTTAGAAAGTATACTTTTGAAAGTTTGAGCGAAAAATGATTTTAAAAGATTGCACTCGTAATTTTCGCATGAGACGCTCTGTACATGAGACGTCGTGTTAGATTCCAGTCAAAGTCAGTGGAATCAACGAAGACATACGCTGTTACACAATCTCTAGTCAATGATGATATACAGCCACCGGCTGCGACCCATAAGTGCTTCACGCACACGTGCGCGCTTGCACATGTACACACAAACGCGCGGCATCCACACATCCTTGAATACACTCGTGACACACGAGGGATATCTTATGTATCGTTTGTGAATCCTCATCTCACCACTCGGATGGCGCCTCATCTCGACGCGAGAGTGTCTTTCAGGCTGAGGCCTCTAATACGCAACACGCGGTTCGCGAATGACATAGGCGAAATATTGTCGAGAAAAAAAACACATATTCGTTGTTTTATTTTCGTGAACAAACAACTCCAAATTCATACTATTATATCGCGATGAGCAGAGGAGCGTGGTGATCCTCGAATCATCACGAACGCGTCACCTGTTCGACGAACATTTCACGAGCACACATCGATTTTTCTTTCTCAGTTTCCGTCTTCCTAAAGTATTTTCCGCAATTTTTGCTCTCCTCTTTCCACGATTCTCTGCGGTCGAGATGAAGACCCGGTATAAAAGGATTGTAAATAATACATTTTTACCTTATTTGTCCGGAAAATTACTTTTCGCGGGAAGACTGTTTACACAGCGAACGAAGCGGTATGTTTGGAAAAGACCGTAGATGTTATTTGCGAAACACGAAACGAGAATATCAAGTATCTTATCTAATCTTCCGAATAACTGAAAATAGTTTTGTTTAACATTTACTTTTTTTACATATGCGAATTTTTTATGTCAGGCCTTCGTCCCTAAAAATGCGAACGTGACACGATCTCAGCGGGAGTCCGCCGCGATGCGAGATCACAAATACTTCTTGGCACAAAATTACAAGATTCCGTTGGACGAAATCCATGCCAAAAATTGGAAGGATGAAGAGCGAAAAATATGAAAACTTTGCTGAAAACTGAGTCACGCGGTCGATCCCCCGGAGCCGCGAGCGGGTTAATTGCGCAATAATTTTTCTCTATACAAAAGACCAAAAACAAAATGACCAAAATTCTGTTCCAGTTAACAAGATTTGTGGTTAATTAGAAATTTTGTTAACTTGAGCAGAATTCTGGTAAGTTCAGCCGGAAATCTGGCTCGTTCATATCTCATCACACATTTGGTTAATCCAACTAATTTACTTTTTCGTGAGAGATCGGGGAAGTAAAGGATCTTATTCTCAAAAAATATCGCATACGATATTTCTATGAAAAACTATAATACACATAACATGAACTATAGCTTTTTATAGAAATATCGTATGCGATATTTTTTCGAGAATAAGGCCCCAACATTTAGATTTAGTGAAAAAATATGCATTTTTCGCGAGGTAGAATTCTCAGTGACAATGTGCACAAAATTATGAACATTCACTACGAGACATACAGCGAGAGATTGCGAGCGTGTTATTTTCCGCGACGTAAGATCTCGCAAAGGACGTGCACGAGATGTCACAAGACACATAATTAAATTAAAACACGGAACTCTCCATTGACGATTAACGCGATCTATCGTCTCGGGATCGATTCTGCGCGCGCGTACGTAAGCTTTGATGATGACGCTCGGCGCCTTCTCTCGTACCTCGTTCATCGTTTCTTCTTGATCCTCCTCTTCTCACTATCCGCGTTTCTCTCTTCACCTCGTCTTCTGCTTTCCGCGAGTGTTAACTAACACCTGAGAAGCGGCCGGTTTTCACGACAGCGTGCCGTAGGTCGGCGATCTCGCAAGTCCTCGCGGACGCGAACGTGACGTACAGAAGAGGAGATCGTCGTCGCACTCGCGATCTCGCGCCTTCGTCGTCTCGGCTCGTCTCCACGGCCTCCCGTCTCCTTCTCCCACCCGTTTCGCGATTTTGTAAGGCCTCGGACGGAATCCAATTAGAAGTTGGAGGCGATCTAACGCGCGTACGACTCCGCCGTCGGCGCGACAGCGTATACTCACTACTGCTCGTCCGCTCGCTCGTTGCCGCCGTTCTTGCCGCCGCCACCACCACCGCCACCGCCGACGCCGACGCCTCCAGCGCCTCTGGACTCGGCGCCGTGCGGATGGATGTGCTGAGATGTTGTCCCGTAGTTGTAGTCGGTAATTAAGGTCTTCCGCCCGCGTCAACGCGCGGTGAGGACGGTAGATCGATTTGCGACGACGAAATTTTTCGGGAGCTCTTTGGCTCCATAACGAGAAATTCGCAACATAAACCGTGCTGAAGACGATATCTCTCGGGTATAGCTAGCTTGGTATCGCTGCTCGTACGAGCTTGTAATCAGCAACAAATCCAATGACGGGGAGAATTGAGAGTTGCAATATTAAAGCTTCTGGTGCCTCGCCGCGAGACTCTCGACTGATGACGTCAAAGGTGCAAAAATACATGCTAAAGATTATTGCAAAATACGTTGAAATAAAAAGATATATCTATAAAATGACTCCTGCAATCGGGCACATCTGTAAAATAGTCCGAACGTTTTCATTTTGCCCTAACAATCAATAAATTACCGTGAAATTAACGTGACACGCAACCTATCTATTCTAACGATTTTGTCACGTTAATTTTACGGTTATTTGTTGATTATCAGAATAAAAGGAAAGTGTTTGGACTATTTCACACAATTGTTCGATCGATTGCAAGAGTCGTTTTATCAATACACCTTTTTATTTCTACATATTTGGAAAAAATTTTAGCGTGTATTTTCTCGCTCTTCTGACGTTATAAATCAAGATAACCGGCGAGAGGCCACAAAATGTACCTCCTTTTTAAACTAAACTAACATAATATTTTTTCAGGTCTTGCGGTTTCGCACAAGAGTCCCTCGACGAAGCACGAGATTCGCGATGCTGGTCCACGTCGGCACGGAGCATCGATCCGCAGTGACGACATTTTTCAAGGGCCTTTAGTCCATAAAACTGCGAGATTGGTAAATAGACCACGTACAAGACGATACTTGGGCTATCAACCTGGTATCGCTGTTCGCACGAACTCCTGGCGGTCGGTAAAAGGACTCAATTAAGGAGAGAGAGAGAGTTGTAATATCAAGATTCAGACCCTTTCCTCCTTTTTTCAATTAAACTAACATAAGTTCTTTCCAGGTCTTACGATTTTGTACAATGCTGTGCTGGCGCAATCGTCAAGGCCCTAAGCTTGTAAAACTACGAGATTGGCAACGTAGACCGCGTAAAAGGATATTATACGGGTATCAGTTTGGCACTGCTAATTTTTGCAAAATACGTTGAAATAAAAAGATGTATCTATAAAATGACGCTTGCAATCGGGCACATCTATAAAATAGTCCGAAAGTTTCCTTTTTGCTCTAACAATCAATAAATTACCGTAAAATTAACATGACACCCAACTTATCCATTCTAATGATTTTGTTACGTTAATTTTATGCTATGAGTACGCGATTGGTAGAGAAACTCAATTAGTAAATAAATTAAGAGTTGAGTATTAAGATTCAGAATCCCTCTCCCTTTGTTCAATCAAAACTGACACAATGTTTTTTTTCAGATTCTGCAGTTCTGTACAATACTGCAATCGTCAAACTACAAATCTGCGGTGCAGGATCACGTCGAAAGAGAGCATCGATTTTAAATGTCCTATTTCGAGTGTGTCGCCGTGCAATGTCATGAGCTCGGTCGCAATCAAATTGTACGCAGGATATTACTTCTGAATGTAAAGCTGAAGCTGTTAGGACTCAGGAAACACGCGTTATTCCACCACGACAACATCGAGGGGAACATCGACGGCAGGAAGAAGAGCAGTGGCGACGACAACGATGTCGGTGGCGGCGGCTGGATTCATTCGGTCGCGGCCTTCCACATTTTTGCGGATTGCGCTTTAACACGCGGCTACTCTCGCGTTCGTTCTCTTTCTCTCTCCCTCCCTCTTTCTCGACTAAGGTTGCGTCTCGTTATATTTCGAGCATGCTCTATGTTTAGATCAGCTGTGCCTATATATCGTGTTCTCTTTCTCGCTCTTTCTCACATGTACACACACACATTCACTCATACACACAATTGCACACACAATTCTGAGCCGTTTCAACCCCCCTCCCCCTGTGTCATTCTCTCCTAGTCGGTCGCGCCGCTTTCTCCTTCTTCCTTTTCCCTCTCTCCTTTGTCGCGCCCTTTTTCAAGACTAAACAGGGCAAAGTAGAAAGCGTGCTCCGCAAACAGGCAAGCTCCGGCAAGAAATTCGCGCAGTTATTTTAGGGTAAACATTTCTGCGGAAACGCGACGCGCCAGTATCATATAAATTTTCAACGGACCTCCCCCGAGACGAGTATCGCGGTCGATTCTTCGTTCGTCGAGGCACAGTTTCTGCATTAGCGACGCGACGAAATCTCATTCTCTAATTCCGGATGGATTTTGCCCGAGCGGATTTCTAATTCGAGGATCCATTACGAAGGTGCGTCGCGTTGCAAATCGCACGTTCGTCCCTCGTGCGCTCTCCACCCTTCCCTTCCGATCCTATTTTTATATTTCACGTATTCTCGATCCCTCCACATTTCGCATTCGCGTCTCGACCGTTCACGCGCTCGTCTCGCGATTATTATTTCTCCCCGTGGGCAAATCCTCGCGTATCCTCGCTGCTCCGACACGAGACTTCTACTCCGGAATAGATCTCTCGTATTATCTTCGTCTAACCGCCACCCTATCTCTCCGCCCCCGCCTACTTCTTCCCCACAGTCATTCTCTCCCACACGCTGTTTTTGTCGTACACCGTGCAAGTACGAAAGGCAAATACAAATCCGCCGTCCCGCGCGTCTCCCTTCCAATCGACGGTATCGTCAACGTGCGATGCTGCACCGCGTTGCACTGTCACGGTGACGCGCGCGTACCGGCTGCATGCGATAATGGAAACCCCCATCGAGGAAAGGCACCCTTGCGGAATCCTAAATCGCGGTCGCATTATACGGGCGGAGACCATCAGTCTTGGCCGAGAACGAGATCGGGAATAATCGTATTTTTCTACGAAAAGAAGAAACTAGGACGGAAAGAAAGAGAAAGAGAAGAAAACGTATGAAAGAAAGGAAGAAGAACCGAAATTGAGATGTGTTCATAAATCTACGTAGGAAAGGGTCTCAGTTTGTATAACTGAATGGGGACGCGTAAGCTCGGTGATAAGAAATAAGATCTCTGTTATTGTGACCGAAAACATTCGTCTGAATATTTAGTACTGTCCAAACTCGGTTGAGATCACTCAGAATAATTGACTCAGAATAATTGAATAGAAGAGCATCTCTCGCTACAGGAATTGTTCTGTTTCCATAACCGAGTTTTTACTTGGCCTCTTTAGGCGGCAGAAAATTCTGTTACACTACCGGAATTGTTTTACTCGTCTTTCTCTTTGTGAAAAGAGTACATAGGAACATCCCTCGCAGCTCGTGCTGAGAATTCAAGATCGCGGTCGCGGTCGACTTCGCGGTGTCGGCTTCGTCGCGTGATTCCAGCCGTCGACGGTCCGCTTTACGTCAGCGGTGTGTCAAGCGTCGCTTATTTTTGGCGGCCGTTTCTTCCTCGCGAGCAGGCGTGTCGATTTTGGTCGTTCGTTGTGTAGAGAATCTCCGATTTCCGCGTATATACACACGAAGTCGCGAGTTCGTGTGAATGATTGTAGTGGTGGTGGTGGTGACCCCCGAGGGTGGCCTCGCGACGTGGCGTGGCACAACGCGTTGCTCGTGCACGAACGCCGTGATAATTACTACCATTACGTACACTAAATGGGAAAGGTAACAACGGAAGGTCTCGGGTACCCGTGGAAGCCGAATCAAGGGCATCAAACCCCAACGGAGGCAACAGTTCGGGAAATGTCATCGGGATTAGATTGATTGATTAGATAGATGTCCAACCTTTCAGTGAACTTTCAGTCACGTTTATTCCGTCACAAATGCATCCGAAATGAAACACTAAGCGCGTTAATTGGATATCTTCCATTCTGTTTCCTTTTCTTTCGTCGACTTGCGCGAAAGAAAGAACATTCTTATTTAAATAGCAGACTATTTAAATTAGGTATTTAAATAGTAGACTATTTAAATTAGATATTTAAATAGCTAATTTAAATAGTCTTTCAAATGCAAGATGCAATTTTTATGCAGAGATGTGAAAATTAGAAAAATTTTAACTTCTTTATTGATTTGATACGGCCGCCAAAAATAAGCGACGCTTCTTAATTGTTCTTTTTAATAAATGCCTAATTTTAATATTAATTTGACATTCCTTATAGGTTTAAAATGATAATAGGTTGATCATATATTGATTACATATTGTATGACAAAATTCCATAAATAATGACAGATTATGTCACGGAAATAAACGTTATTTATTTCAAAAATAAATTTTCCAATATATTTTTTGTCAGTGCATAAGTAGCCCACTTTTCTATACATAAAACAATGTACTTTCGCAAAACTTACTTTTACACAAAATACATATCTTACAACAGAATCTAATGTAATACATGATATATTTGTTATTATTTGTATAAGTGAGTTATGCAATATGTAATACAAATTTATAGTCATTTTAAACCTATAAGAAATATTGATAAAAAATTGTAATATTTTCTGAAATTAGGCATTTATTGAATAGAACAATTAGAAAAAATTAATGAAAAAATAAAAATTTTATTCTAGTAATTTTTATATCTCTATACAAGCGTAATGGATAGTAAAAGTGTTAATTTAAAGCTTTTACTTGTCGTTGCGGATAATAACATGTGTGAAAGAATGTTCTGAGGGAGAAAGAAGAACAGAGTATCAACGAACAGTTCCTTATATCGGTAGCTTTGTCAACTATGTCGGTACATTAGGTACCAGAAGGACCGCACGAGCAAAAGATAGCGGTGGCAGCACTGGCTATATGCACGTAAATTACAACATTATCGCTGGTGGTTAAATCGGTACCATTTGATACGTCCTTGTGTTGTGTGCAGCGGTAAACATTCCTCACGGAATATTGACTCGCCGTATCGCGTTATCGAAAAATTCCTTCAAACCTACCTCGGTCTGCACTTATTGCTCGCGATTATTATCCACGTTAGTAGATAACGTGCCGTGTTTTCTCCTCTCGGGTTGTTACATAGTTTACCGAAGCGCGAGAATGCAATCGCGATAACGACATTTCTGCATTGAATGCATTCAACGCGAATTTTACGGTATAAAACGCGAGATAAGCGATACATCGACATGGCGTAGGGAAAGATTGCTTGCATACACAACACGTATACACACATATATATATACATATATATCACTACAACCGTATATTATTGCGACGCGTTTCCCTCAAATTGTTCAGGCAAAATTAGGATCAATTTATGAGAAACGTGCATAAATACGTTCCGGAAGGATTCGGAGAAGGAAAGGCAATCTCGTGAACACGCCTGGTCGTCCTGTTCGA